AGGAAGGAAGGAAGGAAGGAAGGAAGGAAGGAAGGAAGGAAGGAAGGAAGAAAGGAAGAAAGGAAGACTGGAATGGCAGGTTCCTTTGAAATACTCAAACTCCTCAAAAAGCTTTTCAATTCAAGATAAAATACAAAGTCTACCACCATCTAAGGGATGGTGCACATTCCTGCCCATAACACCTCTTCAGTGTCATCTTCCATACATGATTCCATCTCATTGATCTTGATCTGGTCCCACAGACTCAGGACTTCCCACCTCCTGAAGGTTGCCCTCATACACAGCCCACAGCTTCTTTCCTACTTTCATTCACATGTTTTCTTCAACAGTGACCTGAGCTCTGCACACTGCCTAAGTCAGCACTGACTCTGCTTCTCCCTTCTTTTATAGTATTGAAAGCCCAAGGTATGTGGCATCTGTTCACTCTCCACTTCTCCTATTAGCAAAAGATTCTGTTTGGGAAAAACATAGACTTAATGCTTTTCATTGTTTTTTCATGATAATAGCTACATAAGTATCTGTTAAATAAAACCCAAAATAATATCACTCTGGTAAATGCCTAAACTGAGGAATATAATAGGAATGTTCTCCAGATCTATAAACTCAGAACACCTTATCAGGAATATCCTACATATAAACACAGAGATAAAGGCAGAAACAAACATTCAGGAGGATTTCTGAACATACAATGGTGAACAGTGAGAAAAAAAAAGACAAAATAGGACAATCTAAACAGGAAATTCTGGAGGCTCATGACCTTGACATAGAGGCAAAGTAGGTTTTCAGGGTGTCCTTCATAGCTCTGCAGCACCACAGATACCCTCCAGGCAGATCACTGCTATGATGTTCCCTGCTTGTTAGCAACAAGCAGAGAAAGCATTGTCACAAATGCAATCAAATGAAAACAAAGCAAACATTGATTGGGTAGCTAGCAAATGCCAGGACTTTGTACATGTGCCACGTGGCTGAATGCTGAGAATGCAGTTAGTTGGCACAATACAGATGAAGAAAGAAGCTGGCATGCCTAAAGCCCTTGCCCAGAGCAAGACAGCTGTGAAGTTTGTTAAAGTTTTAGCTTAAATGGGAGTCCAAAGACTTTGTAATATAGATCACACAGATGACAGAGGTAGCTTTCACAACTACCAGACTCTAAACCAAGTCCTTTAAATTCACAAGGAAAGCCAATACCACATGTGCTACTTACAATTTCAATGTTCAAAACTACATGAATTGAGAATTTGTACTACCAAATGGTGAAATGGCTGAATGGCTGATCCTAAAAAATGTCACCAGAAACCTGAGTCTTAAAACAACCAACCAACCAACCAAACAAACAAACAAAAAGCTTCCACAACCACATAGTGCAAAGCTCAATCAGGGACCTATGAGCAGGAATATGGCTTAGTGGTGTAATAGCTTGCTTTGCAAGACCGATGACCTGAGTTTGTTCTCTGGAACCAACCTTACAATGTTATCTCTGCTATATACACATGTACTGTGACATGTGTGTGCTTAGCCAGATAACAAACATACACACATACACACGTTCACGAACACATATAACAATGAAAATTTACACAGTGAAAATAAAATGTTTAGATATAAAAACTAAAAGAAAAAGAAACAAAATTCTCAGAGTCCTTTCAAAGTTTCATTCAGAAATGAGAAAATTTTCTCCTGATGCCCATCAGGGAGCTCTATGTAAACAAGGGATTTCTGAGCATTCTTCCTAGAAGACTCTGAAGGATCTCGGCTTAGGCTGTGCACCTTCCTCTTTAGAACCACCCTGTTCCAAACAAGCACAAATACATTCCACTGACAATAAAGCTTAAAGATTTGCAAGACTCTGTATAAGTGGCGGCATCTTCTTGTGCATGTACACAGCATCCCATTGGCATTCAATGCAGTGCTTGAAAGTTGTTTGATTGGCTTCTCAAGGTCAATTCCCACAAAACTTTCCCCAAATTGTCACTAAGTTAAAAATCTGGATTCATTAGAAAAGCGGTTTCTTTCTACCCTTAACTGAAATGCAGATAGGCACTCAACTGAACCTTGTTACTACCACTGTTTGTTGTTCATATGTATACACACACACACACACACACACACACACAATGCTTTACCAGGCACTGTCATGGCCCTGTGTGTCTCACCCTGCTTTCAGATAGTCTCATCTCCTTCACCCACTCTCCAGTTAAGACCCCTCAGAAGCTCTTCTTCGCAGTCTACTGACAGAAACATCCATCATCCCTGCTTTCTGGCACTGCACTTTGCAGCCAAACAACTGGACGGGAAAAGGTGAGGATGAAAAAATAATGCTGATGTTTTGTTCAGGAGAATGTCCCTGAATATTCGATCCTGCCCTCAGACTTCTGCACTATCTGTTCTTGCCAAGCTCACTCCAGAAACATCCATAAAACTCAGGCCATGGCTCTGCTTCTCTCTCCAGTGACCTGGAGATTCTGTATCATACCCCCTTGCTCTCTTAGAAAGAATCTCTGCAACAGGTGCTGATACCATTCCTGAGCATGCTGTAAGGCTGGACTAGATGACCTCTAAGGCTCCTCTGCTGGCCATATTCTGACACTGAATGCTCTTCGGACTCAGGTTTCACTAGGAATAAAAGTGTGGCTAGAATCTTAAGTCAAATTGCTTATATGTACCTGGAACACAGGCTTTCATTAGAAGTGACTGAGGAAGTTACAGTGAGAAACACTAGAGATACCCAAAGGAGGTCTGCAGAAAATGAAATGCAATCACTTCCATGAGAAAATGTATGCTGTGTTCCAAACAACTGATTTACAAATTATCCAGGTGTATGAACTACAGTCTATCCACTATATGAAGCCTATTGTAAGGATAAAAGACAAGGAATACAGAAAACCTCCCCAAAATAGGCTCTTCGCTGAATGACAATGCAGATGGTATAAAGGTGTCCCAGAATAATCTACAATATAAGTACACATTATTTGACTCACATATGTTTTTTGGAGGAACAATTGCAAGAAAAACAAGGTTTTCTTATGACTTCTTTTAAACCCATAAATTTAATGATTTTTATTCCCTTGACAGTATTTACTGTAGTTCCCTGGTCATTAAAAATTATTGAGAAAACTCTGGGCTCCAGTGTAATAGATCTTAACCTGGGTCACTTTGTATGTATCAGGGAGGATGGCAAGAGAGGCCCACTAGGGCATCAAACACAAAATAGCTATTGTGAAAACACCCCATATCTTATGACATGGAACTAGATGAGCAACTACAAAGAAAGAAAAGCAAAGCTGGCCGATTCCAATATTATTACGAGAGCTCTCAAAGGGCATAAGACTACATATGCTATTTCTGTCCTGTTGAAAATGCCATTTATATAAGAGTTGTCCCAACCATACCACTTGTTCTGAAGTAACAAACTTCTAAGCAGGTATCAAGTGAGAAAGAGTATGGTATAAAGGAAGAATCAAGAGACTTGGGTTTTGTCAGGGTCTCCTAACTAGTTCTAGTATTGTAAGTAAATTACAATCTCTCTTTCTCTTGGCCTCACCCATAGAAATATGTGCTAGAGATTGGCTGTGAAAGGTGCAGTGGGAGCTACTCTGCCTCTCCACAGGATGCTGCACAGAGCATTTTCAAGGAGTGACTAGATAAAATTTTCAACGGCTGTTCTGGGAAAGCTGTATTGTCTTCTCTCCCCTCTTCTCCAGGACTGTCTGGCAAGTGAATGATCAAAGTGCTATTCCATCAGTCCTCTAAGAGTGCACAGAAATGCAACAACCAGAGGCTGTTATTTAAGCTCCGGGAACCTAGAATACCATGCTTCTTCACAGACATTTGCCACATACCTGGTGTATTAATGGTCCCCAAAAGTTCTGTAACACAAAAAGTACTTGTTTAAAACATTACATATTTTTCCTGTTGCCACTGAAAGTTACCAACTAGAATAGTTTCCTGGGTATGAGAACCACTTCTTAATTTACCTTTCTGATAATGACACAACAATTGATAAATGACAGTATTTATGGCATTTTTTTTTTTTGGTGTGTGTACATTTCAAATTTTATTAAACTTATTTATCTGAAATATATGTTTACATATAGGAAAAAAAGATACAGGATTTCAAGTAACTTATGGGACAGCCATTATCTGTTAAAAAATATTCTTCTTTCTTCCACACACACAATCCCTCCTATTTACAGTATAAAAGCTAGATGCAAACTTTTAATGTAAACTGATTTTCATTGTTAACTCTGTTGATGAAGATGGGAGACATACTTATTCACAGTTCAGTTAAAGAAAACAGCTGTCTCATGTCTCAGTAGGACTATGCATTTCATGTTCACACCATATAACTTCTTTCCTTTCCCTTTATTACTTCCCTCTCCTTGCTGAAGACTTCGCTCAGCTTTTTCTGGTTTTTTGTGTCCTTGTTTTTAGTTTGGGTACCATTTCTGCTACATATTGCATAACTGAGTTACATGATGGGCAGAGGCTGCCACCTTCCTGTTTGAGCTATATGCGGACCCTGCCTCTGCACTGAACATCACAATTCCATTCTCCAGAGTACATTTTGTTTTTCTCCAGAAATGCACTCAGTCCAATTGCTGAGGATATATCCTGAATCTCAGTAGTGGTGGGGTTTTCTACAGCCTTACTTAGGGGAATCGACCTCCCCTCAGCTATGGTCTTATTATTATTTAAATAAGCACAGTAGATACAAATAAACCTGTCCTGGTCAGCCTGGGACTTAGTGGCTGTGCAAGCCATCTCCATGGGAGCCCCCATAACCATACCAGGCCAGCAGGCTGAACACCAGCTGGAAGTTGTCTCAGTATCTGTGTTTTGTTTGTGTTTAAATGGAATAGCTGAACCTGGAAATTGACCAATGTTTATATCATTAAGTCTTGCATAGTAAATTCGAAAGGTGTAATATACGAAGAAAATGTAAAACTATATGGAATGTACAACAAAATATATGAAAAGTACAACGATAAATTCATGGCATTAAGTTTCATGGACTATTTTCTGCAAGCATAAAGAGAAAAGCCAGGAACAAAATATATTGAACAGGACACATAAAAATATGCTTCACTTGGGCTCAATAAACATTAGCTAATATTTCCCAGCAGTATCTGTAAGTTATTTATCTGGCCACGTAAGTTCTCAATGCCTCAATTTCCCTGTCTATAAAATAAACAAATATTTACTGTAAAATAAAACAGCAAATTACACTCACTGAGGAGCTGTGAGGCTTAATTTAAGTTTCAGAAGCATCTGGAAAAAGGCAAATGATGGATGGGAGTGTCAATCATCATCACTATTCACAACTGTTATTGTGAGAACAAGGTTAGAAAGGAAGCCAACTCCTGGCTCTAGTATGCTGCCACAGGAGAGGTGCCCTTGTATAAAACTACAGACTTCTCCACTTCCCGAGTATGGACAGAAAGAAGCAAACTGCTAAGACAACAAAACTGTATACAGTTAAGTTCAACTGATTTGCATTTATAAACTTTTATTTATTGATCTCTGACAAATAGTTTCTACTTTCAAGGTTATAAAAATAATTTTTCTCTAAGTACTGAGATAGAACATGGTTCAAAAAAAATAAGGAAGGTAGAAAAAGAAGGAAGGGAAGGGAAACAGAGCAAAGGAAAGTTCCTAGGCTTCAAACTTAGAATTGGGGATGGGCTGTCTTTGATTAGGATCTGAATTGTATATTACAGGTTCCTAATCCATCCTTTAACAAGTTATGGTCAACTAGGACTGTGAAAATCACTTTTACAGCCCTCATGACTGTCATGCTGTCTGGAATGCATTAGGCAATAAGAGAAGAAACAATGAAGGAATGCCTATGCTCCAATGTTTACCAAGCAGCAACCAGACCTACACTAACTAAAGGTTGATACTAATGGCTCTATCTCTTTGGAAAGTGATGTAAGGAACAAGATGAAATGCGTGGTTCCCTATTCACCTTGAAAACAGGAGGGGAGGAAAGAGAAGAAGCCAGCATCTATGCAGGCTACAGTGGCCACCAGCTTAATCCATGGCAGCGCTATCAATCTATGCACCAGTCACCCCAACCCATCCTGGAAAAAAAATATCATTGCTCCCAACATAATACACTAAAACAAATTTATAAATGTTAATACAATTTTTAAAAGGTCAGGCCACTGCTTCCTAGGAGCCAATGTCAGGGGAACTTAATACATTTCAGGATCAGGTCACTGGCAGGACCGCTCTGACATTAAAGGATGGGGAAAATGGAATTTTTCTCTTTTAAAATTAGTTAACCAGCACATCTGTCTGTTTTCCCTTTGGCTGCCTGGTATAGAGCAAGCACTGTAACAGGGGAAATTTATTGAAACATACCATTAAATCAATATGGCAGAGCATTCTACTTTATACTGGGCTGTAAAAGCCATGCATGTGGGAAACTGAAGGAAATGCACTAGTACTGAAAATAGGAATAAAAATGTTTTATAAAAGTAAATGAATTCCGAGAATATAAAATTTAAGAGATTATTTAGCAGGGCTGAGGACTTAAAATTGACCATGTAACCCTTTGTTCTTGGGTGGATTTCAGAGGAAGCCTTCTCACTCAAGGGTAGAGCTGAAACATGACAACGAAAGTGAGAGTTCTGGCAGGATTATCAGAAATCACTTTGGAAAAGGGTAATAAAATCAGATTTATAGAATCAAGTCATAGTAGGACTTTATATTCTCATTAATGTAGAGGCCATATTTCTGTACATAATCCAGGGAGATTCAGGGGGCAGGAAGGAAACTGTTGCTGAAGAGTAAAATGTGACTATGTGAGAAGCAAACACTGGGAACAGTGTGTACAGGTCACAACAGAACTCATAAATGAGTTTTTACAGTCCTTGGCCACTTCTCACCATTTGGTATTTTACAGTTAGCTCATGGAAACCCCATGTTTTAGACTTGCATACATAAATGCAAACACACAAAGTATGAATTTATAGAATCTAGCACAATGTACTTCTCAAGACCTTAAAAATTAATTCAGATTACAAGTGAAAGGCATTTTAGAAATCAGCTAGTCTGATATCAATACTGATATTGGCACTGATAATTTAAATGTTACGGTAATTAGGAAATGCATCCATGTGTGTTTGAGATTCAAAAGACAACCTTTAATTTTACAAAGTTAACAAACCAAGATCATCCATCTAACAATGTGAAGTCAAACAGGAAGATGAAAGCCTCCCCACTGAAGACTGAGGAAGACAGGGCTGGGGGACAGCTAGGGAGACCAAATGCGACCTGCCCAAGCACTAGCACCTGAGTGTGGGTCCCCAGCACTCATGTAACAGTCAGCTTTGAAAACTGAGCTCTGAAATCCCAGAGCAGGGTATAGGGAACTTGGTGGATACTCAATCTAGTCAATTAGTATGTTAAAATCATAATACATACAGGCATACATACAATGGAGAGCAACAGAGGAAGACACTAGAACACTGGGCATCAACCTCTTGCTCATACATTTGTACCCCTACCCAAGAATGAAGAAAACACAAAAGAAAATGAAATCTGGACCACTGTGCTAAGGAGACCAGCAAGAAAACTCAGTGGGTGAAGAAGCTTGCCATCAAGCATGTCACACTGAGTTAGACCACTACAAACCACATGACAGAAAGACAGATGCAATTCCCGTAAGTTCTCTTCTCATCTTCACCTATGTGCCATAGCAGCCAATTGCCCAAACCCAAATAAATAAGTAAATATTAAAAACTGAAAATGTTGATAATCACTAGTATGAAAATTAAGACAGCAAGCAAATGAAAACTCCATTTAATAATTTGAATGACAGGAATAAAAGTAAGTAACTACTATAAAAAAAGCCACATTCCACTTGTAATTAGTATAGCAGAAACCCCATCACCACTGATGCACACTGGTATCCATGAAGTCCTTTCAAGGAAGATTCTTGTACTTATACAAAGATACCATAAAACCACCTTAAGCCAAGAAACACCTGGAGACTGTTTCTTCACATCTTTTGAAATAGTTTTACATTTGCCTTTTTTCCAAAAAACATTTTTTTTGGAAACTAGAAAATCTCTACTTTGCATGGTAGCCCAGCCTAGAAATCCATGTGTCACAGGCCATTACTTTTATCATTACAAGGCTCAATGTAGTTGTTCGTTCCTTTTTATGAACTAGGTGTCCTTTTTATGAACTAACTGTCTTCGGCTAAAGCAGCAGAGGCCAAGGGAAACTATAAGGTCTTCAGATTTCTTTGAAATTGTGGGACAACACTGAGAAACCATGCTGGGCTATAGTGACTCTTCACAATTGGAGATGCTAACAGAATTGTAGTTAAGAAAGCCCTGAGCAATGGTTAGCTTCTGCGTTTTATTTTGAAAGCTAGCAGCATATCCAGATGAGCTGCCTCTGAGATGTGTAAACACGCATGCTGTCTATGTTTTGCTCAGAGCATCTGCAGGTTTGGCATCTTCATTGACTGAAATAGGGAAGAACGAGTTAAGGACAGTAAATACTGGACATATAGAACAGAAATAAGTTTGGGATACTTTAAACTCAAGACTCAAAATGACAAACCAAAGAGGACACAAGAAATGGAAAGTAAAGGGCCACTGAACCAAAAATTCAGTAAAATTTTCCTGTCTCAAGGCAGAAATTTGTGAGTCATTAGACTGAAATGGTCTTTGAAGCAATGAGATTGGATTAGGCTACCAATGGCACTAATAAGGGTAAAACATAAGAAGGTGGCCAAGGATTGGATCAGGTACCCAGCATAAGAGGTCAGAACTCAGGGTGCACCAGGAGGGTTTATGGAACATCAGAAAGGTCGACCACTCTGCAAGGCAACTGGGAAGAAAGTCTTTCAAGAAGGTAGGAGAGAAAAAAACCACCAAGCACTGAAAGTGGGTTAGTTACATACAAAGCAAAGTAACTGTCCCAAGCAATTCGGTTCTCTATTTCAATTGTGTGTGTGTGTGTGTGTGTGTGTGTGTGTGTGTGTGTGTGTGTGT